AAAACCTAGGTAAGCCTTCTTGCTGCCCATGGCAAGCTCAGCCTCCCCTCTCCCTCAGGACTGTGCCGTTCCTTCAGCCAGCCCCCTAAGGAGAGGCCAGCCACTGACCTGCTGGTGGGATTTGCTCGCTTTAGCTGAAGGGGTTCTGGAGGTGTTCTCACCAACAGTCTGGCTGGAGGGCAGCTGAGTCTCTTTGGACAAAAGCAGAGACTAAGATGGGAACAGATTCATCACTGTCCAGTCTGGTTCTGCCAAGACAGCCCATTCTGGCTTTGTCTGAGGCTCCCTTTGAACATTTTAGTAGGATTTCAACTCGGGATTTTCACTATCATCTTGCCTTCATGCTTGTTTATATTTATACATTAAAAAAAAAAAAAAAAAAACTTAGACATTTTCAGAAATTCCTCTCCCCGCCCCCTCTGGCAATTTGGAGATGTGGTTTCTCTTTATAGCCCGGTCTGGCCTGAAACTCACTCTGTAGACCAGGCTGGCCTTGAACTCAAGGAGATCTGTTTTCCTCTGCCTTCGGAGTACTGGGATTAAACGGTGTGTGCCACCGCCGACCAGGCTACAAGGTTTATTTTTAAAAAGAAAATTAGCAAAAGGAGCAAGTTATCCAACTACCAGAATCCCAGTCTCTAGTTGTGTCGTGTGTAAACCACAGCTGGTCCACTGTTTTTAAAACGTCTGCATTTTTCTTGAAGGTTTTGGCGGTAAGGAAGTCCACCTACGGTCTGGAAAGATGTGCCCTTTGACTTCACTACACACACATACACACACACACACACACACACACACACACACACACACACCATGTGTTACCCCAGCATCCAACATCTCCCTGTGTTGGAAGATTCCCAAGGAATAGTGGGGTAGAGGCCTTTGACTGCCTGTGGTGGGAGGCTGTGAGGCCGAGGGGTATTGTGACATGCTCCGGGGAAAGGCAGTTTTTCCTTTGGCCGACGGAGGCCCCAGCCCATTGGGACAAGGGAGCGGGACCGACATGGAACAGAGGCCTGAGGAGCAGCCCTCCAGGGCCCCGAAGGAGGAGAAGGTGGAGGCGCAGACCCTGAACCAGGCTATCTTCGGCCGCGGCCGGATGCTGCTGGTAAGAGAAGTCTTGAAGCAAGAAGAGAGCTACACGAGCCTGCAGAACTCTGCGGGTCAGCCCCCAGAGGACCTGAACGGCGAGCTCTCCAACACCCAAGCAACAGACGGCCAGAGTGCGTCCAGCAGCTGCAGGCGGGGACTCAAGCGCCCCGCTGACAGCCTGGCCGACAACCCGGAAGCCCCGGTCGCCAAGTCCAGGAGCCGCACGCAGGAGCCGGAGAGGCCGCAGTTCTTGGGTCTCGACGAAAAGGACTCGCCCGGTGGCGCGGCGGCTGAGATCGCCGAGCTGTGCTCGGAGCCCGGCAGGCAGCTGCTCCTGGTGCTGTGCCACGCGTCGGCGCTGGGCACGCAGCTGCCGCGGCTTCAGCTGCTCCTGCAGCAGGTGCGCGTCCAGGACCGCCGCCCGCCAGCCGCGCTCGTCGGGATCCTGATGCAGCCGCGGCCGAGCGAGGAGGCCGAATCGCGCCGCCGTCTGGAGGACCTGCTGTGCAGCGTCTTTGCTTCAGACAACCCGGAAGTCGAGGTGCACACAGCAGTGTTCTCTCCCAGCCGCCCCCAGGGTGTCCTGGACGTCCAGCGCGCTGCCAGCCAAGCGCACATGCCCCCCCTAGTGGATCGCCAGACCCAGACGGATGGTGAGGGGCCCGAGGGTGGAAACTGGGATTGTTGTTCCCTTGAGAAGTGGGCAAATCCCCGACATTCACAGCCCCTGTGTGATGGCGTCTCCAGAAGTTTGGGGTAATGAACCAGCGTCCTTTTCCCAAGATGTAGGGGGCTGGGATAATCTGAAAGTGTTCGAGAATTAACCCAGAGGTCGACCTCTCCCCTCTACCTGCCCTGCCTACAGTTGAAGAGAAATCACGTTTTTATAGCGTCCTGATGGAATATTGTAGCACCTAAAACAGCTCACCCCCTCCTCTCCAAATGCCCTGATGGATGCCCTTCTCAAGTTCCTTAGTGGACTCCCTAGTCGGACACTCCTCCAGGGGATAAAAGTGACAATAAAAGAAACCTCATGTGAGCCGGTCACTGTGCTAAGGGCTTTCACCTCTTCACAGCAGCTCTCTAAGGTTGGGACTTCAAGAGTTAACTGGTTTACCACTGGGGGTGGGGTGTCTGGGGTTCCTCCCCCCTTCAAAGCCCCTAATATTCTTTCTTGTGGCCCTGGGGGCTGATTTGTGGCCTACGGTCCTTGAGCAGTAGGCTCTTAACGCGAGCTTCCGGCACTCTGTTTCCAGAAGCCCCTTCCAGCACAGCATCAGAAGCATCCTGAGCACAGGCCCCTTGATGCCCCATTGCAGAGGTTCTGCTGCCTTTCAGCTGGTGACCATAGTAAACTCCCTCTCATCAGACCCGTTACCCTCCCGGGTGACACTCAAGGATGAAAGACTGCTTGATGCCAGATTCGGCAGAAAGAGGCTAGCTTCGGGATAAATGGTGACACACCCACTCTGGGGTCTCAAGGATCGCTGATGGGGGAATGGTATTATCACATTCCACACCTTGTCCTCACCATCCTCCGACCCTTTAAACTCATTCTTCTCCTAAAAAGCTGAGTACAGTTTCACTGGTGCTCCTGGCTAAGAAAGCCCACACTGATGGGCTCATTCCAGTGGTGATACTCCTCTAGGGACTACAAGAATCTAGTCCATCTTTGGCAACAGCCCCTTAGTAAGAAAACTTCCCCGACTCTGCCTGCAGCTGTTCCATGGACACCATCCTACTGCTTTCACTCTCTTCTCGGGCAGCTTGCATAAAAGCTGCTGGCTCTCCTTGCCCGGATCTAGGGGGTGGGGAGTGAAAGCTAAGACAAAGCAAGAAGTAATCCTAAAGTTAAGTAAACTATGGCAGCAATGTTGAGGGACCAGGTTCTTGCTGCGGAACACCCATGAGGACTTCTCCCTCCCTGCTCCACATATTTTCTCCTCAATGGGAAAAATGCTCCTCAACTGTCTTCTTTCAGGAGCACACATCTGTGTGTCCCCGTGCCCTGTTGCCTCTCTTTAGGTGAAATGGAATAACTATTTCGTGGCTATTAAAAAATTCTACCCATATATGTCCCCACCCACACTGGACTCATTTAAATCAGTTGTTTTCGACCAGAAACAATGTTAACACCTTCTTGAAGTTCTGGGGATATGTAACCACACCTTGAGGTCTTTTCCATTATCGTGATGGGGGTGCTGGCCAGAGAGGCTGAAGGGCTTCTTATAACACACATCACAGCCTCTCCTGGGAGACATCCAGCCCACAGTGAGGGCTGAACCTGAGAAACTGATTTAAGCCAGGTTAAGCTCCTCAATCAATGTCTTGATCAACAGCTGAAAAGGCAATTTAGGCAAGATGAACCTCGTGCTGACTTCCAGCTTCTCTGATTCTAAACGGCATCCCTTCAATTGGTCCATCCCTCTTGACCTCAGGAAACAGCCAACTTCTTGTAGAGTCACCTGCCCACTGGACCTCCTTACTCCAAACAATCAGATAGAACCTGAGCCCACTGAGCTTTCCTTCCAATTCTCCATGCCTTTTTTCAATCTTCTCATGTAAGCAACTTTAAATTTGCTTTTTTTTTCAATTCATTAATTTCAAAGCCTATGTAATCTGACTCCCACTGACTACTGGAGTCATATAGAAAGAACTGGAATTTAGTTGTAAGGATGCCACCAATCAACTGGAGGTGGGGGATTTCTGTAATTTAACTTCTCTGAACCTCAATATCCTTTTTGGTAAAATAACACCAATGATAATAATTAACAGGTAAAGTCTTCGCTGGCTCTAGAAGCTTGAAACTAGATCCTCTCACTTCACTGCTGCCGTCGGTCTGGGCTTTGTGTGGGGCTGGCATGGAGCCTTTCTGGCTTGCTGGCTTTCCCTGACCTTATCCCTTGCCCGCTCGCTGTGGCCTCACGCCCTCCTCCAGCTTTGGAACTCTGGGTAGGGCAGGTGTACTTACCTCTACAGCTTACCTAGCTCATGGAGGAAGTTCCGTCTCTTGCTGGGAGCACATTTTTCTATTGTGATGTGTGACATTTAGGCTATATTTTCAAAATGCTTTTCACTCTTCCATCCTAAAATGAAAGCCACATTGTCAAGTTAGAAAGAGTCACCGTCTGTTTGACCCAACCATTGTGTGGGGGAGGTAATAAGTCTGTTTCACCAATGAGTTTGAGAAATTATTTCTCAGTTTTCTGAGAACTTGCTCAAATTCTTGGCCAAAAAATCAAAGGGTTCTTAAAACGTTCACACACACACACACACACACACACACACACACACACACACACACGTTCTCTTCCCACAAGGAAAGAGGGAAAACGTTTCAGAGATGATGGGAGGCAAGAGGCCATGGAAGGTAAATGCTAAAATTAGTCAAATCTTCAGAAAAGGTCCCTTAAAGCACACTACATACATGGGAACCATAAATGTTTGTGTTTGGAGGTGGACATATGCAAACCAGCAACAGAGCTGAGAATCCCATCCAGAATGTCTTTGAATTAAGAGGTAGCTCACTTGGACCCAGGAACACGCAGCAGAAAAGTGTCTGAAACGGGTGCTCTGGTCACAGAATCATGGGGATCCAGTTGTCATAGGCCCAGAGACTATCTTAATCAGGCCATGGAGGGACAGGGCAGCTGCTGCCCCCTGCCTGTTCAAGCAAGAAGCCCTGGAAGAGCAAAGATGCTACAGGAAAGACTGTGCCAGAGCCCTAGCTACAGGGGCCAGCCTGGCTTTTGTGACCTCACAGGAGGTATGGGTGACTCTTGTCTGGTAACCTTTCTTTAGTCAAAGCCCAGAGCCATATCTATACAGGGGAGCCGACCTCCTTAAAGAGGGAGTCAGGAAATTTACAGCTCCATGTAGCTCCACGGTTTTACTCTAAAAAGACCACCATGAAGAAGGTAAAAAAGAAAAAGGCTGAGTCCAGGCGCCGGAGGGATTCTATCTCACGGCAGGCTAGCTCCGACTCTTCACAGCAGCCCAGCTCAGAAACACCGCTGTCATGTCCAGAGCCGATCCCGCCACCACTGCAGCCACAGCCTTGCCAGTTCAGCCTGCCTCCGCAAGTTAACCCCGAGCCTACCTCACAACAGCCGACACAGGTTTTCCCAGCTTCAGAAATCCATGCTCCATCTCCGTTTTTGCTATCTTCAATGGCTGAATCCAAAGACACTCCTCCATGCAGGAAAGAAGGTGGGCAGACTTCCTGCCTCTGCAGCTCTAGCCTTCTGGCCGATAGAGTCCCAGAGCCAGGGGCAGGTTCCTGTACGGTGATGGTGTACGGTCAGCATGCTGGCTGCCGCCATGTTTACGAAGTGTGGAGGGGCGAGAGTTTTCCGCGAGACCAGGATTTCCGGGTTTTGTCATTCCAAACCATCCCAGGTCTCGCTGGAAACAGCCTTGGATATGTTCCGTTTATGGGAGACTATCTCATTAGGAGTCAGTCAGCAACTGTTCAGAAATTAACAGCAAAATACGGTTTAGAAGACAGGAAGCAGTCCCATGCCTTGTGGCTACTTTTTATCCAGCTATTCTCATGAGAGGTCCGACTACTCCAAAGACTATTCCAGGGAGATGGGTTGGGGATGGCTGTGTGACAGTTCATGAGAGAATTTGGGGTTTTCTGTTTGTCAGGTGAAAAATGGGAAGGTTGTTCCCCCCCCCCCATGTGGTTCCAAGAGGTCTGACCTTGGATTCACAGGGAGGATAGCTAGATCAAATACAGGATTCCTGGCTTAATCCTAACTTCAGATAAACCACAAATAATACTGCAATTGTTGGTATGTGTTCCAAACAGGCATCCTGTATTCCTGAGACAATTTCTGAGAAATTGTCATCCTTTCCCATAGAAGATACTAAAATAGGATCAGACCCATCTATTTGATCAGAGCCTCCACAGAATTACTCTTTCTCCAGAAAGACCTTAATAGACACTCCCAGAGGTGTGCTTTGTTGATAATCTTGGCATTGTCTAATCCAGTCAGGCTGACAAGATTTGCCTTCTTGTTTGTTGATGTTATAGTGGGCACCTCATGTTGCTTTCTCAAGGAATCCTTTTCCTCTGAGAAAGAGCGAGAAGGAAGATTGGAAATATGGGCTGAAGACTTTCAAATTTATGATGTCACTTTCTAAAACCTAGATTTAGCCAGGCGTGATGACACTCGCCTTTAATCCCAGCACTCAGGGAGGCAGAGACATGCAGATCACTGAGAGTTTGAGACCAGACTGGTCTAGAAAATGAGTCCATGACAGTCAAAGCTACACAGAGAAACCCTGTCTGGAAAAAACAAAATAATAATAATAAAACCAACATGTCTTAATACAAAATATTGTGGCTCAAGGCAATACTAGTCCTTCATTAGAGTGACTGTCATTAAAAAGGACAATAATAAGGTGGAGATTTGAGATTTAGAATTTAGGATATACACTGTTAGTAGGATGTAAAGTGGGGTGGCTACTGTGGAAAATAACCTGGAAGTTTCTCAGCAAAACATCGTTACCAACTGACCCATTCCATTTCTGAGTACAGAATTAAAAACACATTCATGCAGAAACCTATGTGTGACTACCCTAACAGCACTGTTCACAATAATTAAAAACTGGAAACAACCCAGTGTCTACCAGGTGATGAATGTGTACCAGAATACACTGAAATACTACTTGTCAGTGAAAAAAAAAAAAAAAAAGACATGGTTTATTGATAATTGTTACAACACAGATGAGATGAACCTTAAACATATCAGTCTAAAGAAGCCAATCCCCCTATATCCATATGTGAGCAGGAAGTGTTGTGCTTAAAACTGAACCAAAAATAAATTTTATGTAAAAAAAAAAAAAAAAAAAAAAAAAGAAGCCAATCCCCCTAGGAATTGACATATGTATGATTTCATTTATGCAAAATGCCCAAAGTAGATTAATAAATTGCCAGGGATGGGAAAGAGAGAAATGGAGGTGTCTGGTGTTGGAATGAGGTTTCTCTTTCAGGAGATGGAAGTGTTTCAAAGCTGGTCACACAACTTTATAAACGTCCTAAAGCCACTAACACACTAACAGTAACTTTAAGGACAGTGAGAATTACATATCAGTGGCAACTTTTCAAGCTAAAAACAAAAGTGTTGCTTATAGAATTCTTGTTTTCTCCTGTCTGAGGAAATCATGTATTTTATAGATAGTCTAAGCAATAAGTACACCAAGCTTACTGATTGACCAACCAGCTTCATAGAGCTTATGAATGAAGCCCTTGTCAAACCCAGTTGGAATTATCCACTAAAACGTCAGCTTGCCCAGAAACAAAGGGTACCATCTCCCAAGTCTGCTAAGTCATGTCCCAGAAGAGCACAGAAATGGGAGTATTAGGGAAGTGTTTCTGTAAGAATAAAGCGAGTGTGGTGTTTGTTTTTTGGATGAGCTGGTACCCACTACATAAATGGAACATGGCACACCAAGTCCAGGACTGCAGCCTCTCATGGGCTGGGCCTGCTTGCATCACTTCCTACCAGTTCTGTACGAAGGCTTTTCACTGGCCTAAAAGTTAGAGATCTTGAGCCTAGGTCCACTTCTGTAATGCACTTGCTGTACAGTCTTTGATCCTCAGCTTCCTCATGTTAAAAAAAAAAAAAATGAAGTCAGCAGCATGCCATGCCTCAGGATTGCAATCATTAGACATGGATAATGATGAGAAGCACCATCCTGTGTAAGCAGTTGTCTCTTCATTCATTCTTCCCAAGTAACACCAGTGGGTAACCTGCTTACTCCTCCAAGCAGCTGGTCCCCCCTTGTGTTTGGGAAGGGGTGGCACTGTGGATGAGCCTTCTTTTAGGTCGTTGGCTGCCTTCTATAAGTCATTCAATCTCACATCTTTGACAATGTCTTTAAAAAGCCTAGGGTTTCCCTTGAAACCCCTGCAGCTGCCACATGTGACTTCTAGAATAGTCCGAGAGACTGTGTCCCACCCCCAGGAGCCAGGTGCAGCCCTCATCTCTCTCCTTCTCTGTCCGGCAGTGCCTCTGACCTATGTGGCTCCACCCTCCTGCTCCTGTTCAGCCTGCCCTGGCAGCTCTACTTGCTGGCGACGTTTGGGGCTGTGCCACAGCCGCATCTTCGATGTCCTTCTGCCTCGAGACTGCCCAGCTATGCCAGGGAGAGACTCTTCAAACCTTCTCACCTTCTACAGGTTCCCGAGTGGGTGGGTGGGTTAAAGCCTTGGTTGTATAGCTCCCGGGCCAGGCTCTTTACTCTGATCTTGTTAGCAATCAGTGTAAATTCCTCCAAACATCATGGGCCTTTCAAAACCAAAGCCTTCCTCTTTAAATAACCAAGTCATCTGCTTTGGCAGGCAGCCTCTGGTGGTGCTTTTCCTCCTTTTTCCACACAAGCCTTTTTTCCTGAGAACACCATCCCACCTAGCCCATTGCAAACTCCATGTCACTCAGGAACTTTGTGGTTACTCACTGGTTGGCCATTCACTTACTTTTTCGACCAATATCATACACAGGGAGGATCTATTTATTAACCCATATATTAATTATCCCTGGAGCTCATTGATAAATGATCATAACTCAGTGGCCCCTTCTAATAATAGTAAAACCTGCCCCATTTAGAGTAGCCATGCTGTTACGGGAAGTCTCCACAAGGCCCATGTTTTCCAGACTGGTCTGTTAGTAGCAGCCTCTTCCTCCATTATCTCATAACACAGTCTCTGTCCTGCTCTTTCCCAAAACCACCAGAAGAAATGTCACCTAGCCACCGTCATTCATGAGAAGGTCCCCGTCCATGTGAAGAACAGACTGAAGATGCTGTCATTCTTGCAGGACTGCTGGGTCATGTGTGGGGGCTGGGAGAGGGGCCTCTACTGAAAGGAGCAGCCCGGTTGTACTCAGGACCTTACACTTAGGTCCTTCCACTTGGAGATCTCATATCTTATGTCAGGAGCACAACCTATTCTCTCATTCTCCTCTTCTCCTATCCTTTCCAGCTCCCTCTCTTGCAGAATTAAAAAACAAAAACAAAAACACAGAGGCTGGGCTGGTCTGGGGAGGAGAGCACGCATACAGTCAGAGATAGCGTCTAGTGAGTGCCACCCAGGAAGAGTCCATGACTCACGCACACAGTGTATCTGTCCCTTCAGTCTGTCTGCTGCCAGGTGGCGCTGTGGGTTCCCATGGGTGAAAAGCCAAATCTTCCTCTGGTAGGAAGCTAGATGCTGTGAGGGACACCTAAACAAAGTCTTCACCTTCCGATGTGCTCAGCCTGTGGAGCTTGCTTAAGACATGTGCATTTAAAGACCTGTGCACAGAACAGGTAGTACGTGGTAAGGGAGGGCTTCTGGGAGTTTCAGAGTAAGGCAGAACCATGTCAGGGTCCACAGCATTGAGTGCCCAGTGTGTGAGCCAACTCCAAAAGTGTCCTAGGATCCCTCTATGGCTTAAGATGGAAAGGAGGGGCATTCTAAGCTATAGGGAAAGTCAAAACACAGTTCAGACTTGGGAAAGACTTTTTCCATGTGAGCCCCTGCTTCTGCAGTCTTTTCCTTCTCAGAGGACTTAAAATGGGCATTTATGTTAGACAAGAAGCTCTCTTTCAGTCAGTTTTCTATCAAACTGGAATCCTCATCTTCTGAATGGCTTCCTTGCATTTACTAATTCACTCTCTTGCTGCCCGCTCTTTGTAGTGAGTGTAACTAATGTTATTTCCTCTAAAATGCCTCAGAGAGTTGTTGTGAAGCTTAAAGAGGACACTGAATGGGAGGTGTCTGGTCCGAGGTCTGGCACATCATGATCTGGACCACCCTTGTACCCTGTTACCCTCTAGGCATCAGTCACAGGCTGACTGAGCCTCCTGCCCCAGGGTCTTGTTGGAAGCTCTGTTGGAAGGGGGTGGGGGCAGTGTGTCCCTTTAGGAGGTGGAGATCAGGAGGGGACCCTGTATATCCCACTGTGGCCTTCCAGCACACAGACACTAAAGCCTTCCTCCCCAACCCTTCCTCTCTGCTTTGCTTTGTTAGAAAACCTTCAAGGAAATACTACACTCCCCGTAACCTACGTTCTTCAAGCTCTCGGAACTATTGCTGTGGTTCTGGGGGCCCTGGGAGCTGCCTACTTCATCACTGAAGCGTTGTGAACTGGAGCCCAGGCCACGGTCCCGCAGGTAAGAGGATCACCGTTTCCCTTTATTTTAAAAGGCTATCTCAAGATGGACTAGTCCTTCCGCATATTGGGGAAAGCTCATGCTGCCTCAAGATGGGCTACCATGACTCTCTTGGGCCTCTCTGGAGACCACTTATCAGAATCATCAGGACAAAGCCCCTACCTCCTCTCTTGTCCCCTGACTTGCTATGGCTTCACTAGTCCTGGATGGGAAGAAGTAGGAGGGGTGGGGAAGAGATTAGTCCCACCTCAGAGCCTTTCTCAGATGAAGGGTCACCCGTCTCACCATCTCTAGTCTGACCTCTCTATGGTGGCTTAGCATCTCAACTTCAGGAGCTATTTCCACTCACGCCAATGTCCTCCAGCCTCTTTCAAGGCCATGCTGGTTCTTTGGAATGTGTGTGATCTCTCCCACTTCTCACTTATATTGCATCATCTCAGCATATGAAGATGTCTTTCATTTTATTCTGATTTCACCTGAAGCCAGGAGCAGAGCCCAAAACAAGTACTGGGTACACCAGATACCTTGAAAAAGTACTCTCAAGAGAAAGCAGGGCTGAGTGGGGAGCCAAGAGCAAAAAGGAAAGGAGAAAAAGGAAAGGAGAAGGCTTCAGCCTGGCCTCATGGAGTCCCAGAATGATATCTGTACAACAGAGCCACTCCTTCAAGAAACAAGAGACTTCCCCTTCCATATCCCTGTGTCAGTTGGTCAGTATGTGGCTATATGGCTGCAGGGAGGAAATTTGGGTCTTTGTGTAAAAAGCAATTCTCCTCAGGCTGAGAGCAAGTCACTGGAGGAGGAGGTACCTCTTGGTCACCAGCAGCCAAAATTCACCATTCAAAGAGCCAATGCATCCGTCAAGATGGAAACAGAGGAGAGGTGGTTACCAAGAGCACCCACAGTCATCCCAACAGCTAGGTCTCGTTCAGCAAATGCTTCAAGGGTGATGGTTGAGGCAGGGAGTGAGAGCCAAGGGAAACATTTCAGTCTGCCCTTCAGCACTCTATCATCCACGGGACTGAGCGTCCATGGGTGTAGTCAAACACGGCTCTGGGAATCGAGGCTTAAAATGCGTAAACATCCAAACCCTACAAATGAGTCCGCTGAGAGTGCAGCATCCTCTCTGGAGCTCCTGATGACTAGTCTAGCATCATTTAGGGACTACTATGAAACCATCCTGATCTCCAGGAGATGTCACAAGCACAAAAGAGCTTGGCTTCCCTCTTCTTGGACTTGCTGGCAGTGGTGGGTTATTTGTAGGAGACATCTGGTGATTGATGTATCTTGTTATCATGTCAGCATGGTGGCCAAGAAAATGCTGGCTCTGGAGTTAAACTGACAAGTCTCTAGACTGTGCCACTTGGAATCCTGGTGTTCAGGGTGTGTTCTCTGACTGTCATCTCCAGAGGAGCGTGACAGCTCTCTCCAAAGAGGATTCAAAGAGGGATATTCAGAGTTGAAGTCCCAGGGACAGAACTAGGAGTTCGTTGCCTATTGATCCGATGATACACGCACCAGATGGTCCAGTGGCAGGCTGGTGGTGCTGCTGTACCTCAGTGGCAGCCTTTTATAGGCACCCACTGAGGGAGCTGCATTACTTGTGGTCTAGCGTATTCATGTGTTCATGGGCCTGCTTTTTCTGATCTGATTTTGGTCCACATATTCACGCGTTTTCCTGGCTTAATTGGTGAGTTCATGTATGGTGGCACTTTATTTGCAAAAATGAGTTATCACCCTGTGCCTCATGGTGCTTGTCGAGCAGATGAGGGTCGTCAAGCTGCTGCGTTACACAGTATGGAGTAAGAGTGCAGAGCACAGGCTGATTGCATAGCATCCAAACCAGAAAGGGGCTCAGGCCAACCAGGAAGAAGTTAGGTGCAGGAGGGCAGCCCAAAGTTCGCATTGCCATGGACAAGGATGTCTCCAGAAGGTTCTACGGTAGGAAAGATTCATAGACAAACCTGGTAGAACACAGAGAAATGACACTCTAAAACATATAGGAAAGGACTATGTGAGTACATTGAGTCTTCCTGAGCGTCAAGGCTCAGCCCTTCATCCCTGTGAAAGGAGAAGAGGCAGTTGGGTGTCTTTCTCTATCCAGAGCAAAAAGTCATCCGAAGAAAGTGGCAAAGTTGCCCCCTCTTAGAGAAAAGTGCTTCCAGAACTTTCTTTCCTAAATCTCAGAGAACCAACCTCTCCCTCAGTATTATCCTCAGTCGATAATAAAGCAACAAAGCAAAAGGTTCCTTGGGGAACCCTTGAATATGGTAAAACTCAACATCACAGCCAACCTCTGGGGAAGGGGGGGCCCATCTTAGCTGCTCGGGGAATGGAGAGTTAACAGGGAAGGCGTTGACATTGGTTGAGCCCAGGAGACGCTCTAGGACTTTACAAATAGTGTCATAGCCTTGGGTAAAACAGTGTGAAACTTTGAAGAAACGAACAAGAATAAAGAAGAGATCAGTGAAGAAGGAAGAGAAAAAGAAAGAAAATGAGGTGGAGGAGGAGAAAGAAAAAAGGGAGGAAGGAAGGAAGGAAGGAAGGAAGGAAGGAAGGAAGGAAGGAAGGAAGGAAAGAAGGAAGGAAGGAAGGAAGGAAGGAAGGAAGGAAGGAAGGAAGGAA